TCCATGCTCTTATTTTGCAGCAAAACCTGTTTAACCAGTCGTCGTTGTTGTACGAAGACATCCCCCGGCAGTCATCAGACTTGGACTCACCTGAGTGGCACCATCAGTGTTGAGTTTAATCCACCCTACCAGAGGGGCTTTCCAACCAATGAGTTGCTCTTCCCTTGTAGGCGTAGTCATGGCTGTCTTTGCTGCCACAACCGCCTTCCAAGCTTTCGTCCTGTCTTTGGCCTTGGATACAATGTAATTTATTAGAGTAGGGTTGGATATTCTGGCCGCTTTAAAAATGAAATCATTCATATGCTTCCATAGATACCATCAGATAAGGGTAAAGAAACTGGACCATTCTCCCATCTCTTCTGTAGACTCATTTTTATCAAGGTTTTCCTTAAGCTAAATATCTTGCTAGATCGTAAAGAATTGGGATTGAAGCTGATGTGGAACGATCTTTTCCCAAACTTTCTTGGTCCTCTCGCAATCCCTTAGACAGTGAATGATGGATTCTTTCTCATTCTCGCACAGAGGGCATTTATCATCATTGGTAAGATGCATGTACTTCCTGATATTATTAGTCATGATTCTTCTTTTGGCTGTTGTCCACATGAACACTCTAACTTGTTCCGGAACTTTCAGGTGCCAAATCTTACTCCAAAGCGGAGAAGTCTGACTGGAAAGATGGGGAGCATCCAATTTATACGCTGAAGACATGGTGAAACATCTATTAGCAGAGGCCTTCCATAACATGCTATCTTCTTTGCCGAAATCGAATAAAAAATAACTGATCTGATATTGTCCTAAAATTCAATGTTGAGGTAGCAAACACTATCATCCATCTTCCACCCTGAGTCAATATCCCAGTAATCAGCCACTTTCCTTTGTTGAAACTCTAGTGGAATGTCGCCAGCTGCTAAATTAATCAATGATTCCTGCAAAAACCAAGCGTCCAACCAAAAGTTAGTTTTTTTTTTACCATTCTTAACATTCATGGCAGCCCCTTTTTTTATGACAAAGGTAGTTTGAGCGAAAATTTTCTAGGCATGTCAACTTCCTTTTGCATTTGCCAGCACTTGGAGTCCCTCCCTACTTCGGCAATATTTGCTCCGCAGGAATCTGGCCCATAGAGATTGGTCTCCGGTTGCTATCTTCCATGCGCCCTTTGCTAGCATGACTTGGTTAGCCTGTCTAGTTGGGCGGATGCCAAGGCCCCCCTGATGTTGAGGTAGAGCTATGTGATCCCAGGCTACCGAATGGACCTTGGATTTCCAATTGACGTTTTTAGCCATAAATTTGTGAGTCTTGATCAAACTTGTATGTTTCCAGTTTTAAACTAGAACGATACAATCTGAATAGGTTAATAGAGCATCCTGATTTGGAAGTGGTGAATTGTTTGTGCGAGAGTCGAGCGATTCATTGCTTTGTACTGGAATTTATTCTAGTAGAGGAGATCTGTTTTTACGGCCTTAGCACATTATCTCGGTGAAGGCTAGTCTCCTACCGTGTATTGTGCCCAAGAGGGCTTGGTCGGTTTAAGAGATTTCAAACTAGGTTTGGATCTTCCGCAGTATAAATCTGAATTGAATTGGACTGAGTGAATTACAACTAGACTTAACTGCCAACTAGGGGAATCATTACTTGAGTGGTTCTTTCTCGAACTTGAGAACCATAACAATTTCCTGCTTTCTGTTTAATTTGCTTTGAACACCTCGCTACATTTTAACCGCTAAATAATAGAAATTCACGGAGTAGACAGTACACCTAGACCTGGGTTGATAAATAAAACTAAACCACTATTATGCATTTCCATTCTACGATTATACTTGGTCATAGTTTGGTGTTTTGTTTTAGCGAGTCATGAGGCCAATCCCTGCCCTCAGGCTAAGCTGGATTGCCTTGTCCTTGTGAACATTAGGAGATACAAACATCATCGATTTGCTGTAATTAACTCTTTGACCAGAGCTGGCAAAGAAGTCGTCAAGGCAATTCTTAATGATGTCGATCTGGTTCCCCTCCGCTTCTGCAAACAAAACAAGATCGTGAGCGAAAAACAGATAGGAGAGTTTTGGACCATCCTTTGACAGATTCAAAGGTTTCCAAAGCTTCTCCTCAACTGCTTGTTGTATTCAGGTGAGAGGGGGTCTCTCTGACGAACTCCTCTGGTAGGAAGAATAGGCTCAGAGAGACAACCATTCCAGTTGATCTGCATTTTGTTTCTTTCGACACAGTCCATAATCCTTCTGGTAAGAGAGCTAGAGAGCCCCACTTCTCCCAGAGTATCTCTGATGAAATCCCACTTCAGTCTATCATACGCTTTTTCAAGGTTGATTTTGATCACTTCGTGCCGTAATTGTTGTCGATTCTGATTACGGATCTGTGACCTTCCTTATGTTTTCCGTGATTTGCATGTGACTTGCATCCACAACCCGAATCCCGCCGGCGGCCCTTGCGAGTGCGTCTCCGATGAGGTTGTCGACTTTGCTTCCAGGCCTCCTGTGATGGCCAGTAGATTTTCTTGCCTCAGCTGAGGACAATTGTCTTCCTAGTGTCCAATTCTCCCACAATGATAACATATGGTCGGCGATAGAGAAAGGTATAAGATCCAGCATAACCTTCTCCCAACAACTCGAGTTATTGAGACCAACTGGTTTATGACATGGTATCAGAGCCTATAACTGAAAGGTCATATGTTCGAATCTCCACGACCCCCAATATTAACAGTTGTCTTTCAAGCACATGGTATGGTGGGCCTGTGCAAATTTCAAGCCCATGGGTTGGCTTTCGTTTGAGGGGGCGTGTTAGAGAATGGTATAGGATCCAACATAACCTTCTCTCAACAACTCGAGTTATTGGGACCAACTGGTTTATGACAAAGATTTTCATATAGAACTGCTTGCAAGAAATTGTCGAGCCAAATCCTTGTAGGTAGGGGCTTTGTCATATCTAATTCCACAGCAATGCGAGCAAATTTACTTCTTTCCCGATGCTCAATATGAGATGAGGTTCCCGAGTGCAAAAAGGATTTATCTGTGGTAAAAAGGTACTGGTAGCTCTAGAAGTTGCACCCACGCCACCACCGATCGATGAGGTTTATCAGAAGATCGGAAGGAAGGGGACCATTGATGAACGATCAAATAATGATCACGGATAACCCAGGGGCCTCCCTTCAAAGCTCTAAGATAATCATGATCCGTTCTAAACGTGATTAAGAACGTGTCGTTGTTGAGGTCCATGGTTTCCAGAGAGCCCATCGGTCGCCATTTCCATCGCAGTTGGGAAACAAGATATGAGTAGGTAACAGATCTACCAAGGAGCCTGACGATTAGAGTCTTTGTCCATGGTTCGCATAGTCGTTCTTTCAGCGAGGCAGAGACTTTCAGGGTCGGTTGTCCATGGAAGGTAGACTTCTCCAAGTCTTTATCACCAACGAAAGTCCATTTTGCTAATCTGGGTGGACTAGCCAGATATGCCCCTGCTAACGCAGCTTTGAAGTTCAAAGATGGTGTTGGTTGAATTTGCCTTGCTTGATTGTCCTGGCTTTGGCCAGAAGGGTCCAGCGATCTGCCCTAGGGTAAGAAGGTAGTCGCCGGAGAAGTTTCGAGAGTGTTAAGAGTCGAGAGCATTTCAGAAGAAAATTCTTGGTAATGGATTGATTAGTTTCGATATCATCGTATCATACTAATGCTACCAATTAAAATCCATAATTCGATGTATTAATGTTATTTTTAGAATTTAGTGCATTAAACACACACATTTTTGTGAGTGCACCGAAGAAACCACCTTTAATTTGAATTTGATATTTGTAATATGAAAACTAAATGGTGGTAGTATTGAATCAAATTTTTATTTGTCTAATTGATATATAAGAGCCTTAATTGTGGGCCATACTATTCATTAAGCGATATTTTTGTAAGTAACTCAAACTTCACGAGTATATGTGACCTTGCTTCTTGGTGGGCAACTGGGCATCTTTCGTCAGATGATTCAATCTCTCTCTCTCTCTCTCTCTCTCTCTACTTAAATTCATCTTCTTCCCAGTCATGTTCATGGCTTCGGCTCACTTAAGTTTTGTTTTTCAGCCATATTCCTATAATTAAAAATATTATTTCCATGGATAATACTATTTTGAAATATGAGGCCACATTAAAAATGAGTCCAATCTCTCTATCTCATTCTTCGTCGTCGAAATTTGTTATTCTCTCATTCAAGGTTTCACTCTCTCTAAAATCCCGTTTAGAAGCCATATTTAGGTAAAGAAATAATTATTTTATTTTGCACAAAGCTATTTCAAAATTTGATGTCATATTAGCCATCTAGTCCAATTTACTCTCACAACTCATAAGGGTAGTGTTTTGATGATTATTTGACTCAGTCGTTTCAACCTGATCATACTCAATAGTCAATAGTATGTAGATCGACTTCCTTTGATACTTAGTCTCATTGACTAGCGAGTGCAAATTGCTATAAAGCTCTCTCACAACATTTTTATAGGTTTCCTTTATAATTTTGCAGTTGTATGTTATGAATTATATTTTACTAATTTTTTCATACGATGCAATTACAAAAACAATCTTCCGCTCGTCGCGAAATGCAAACTAGTTGTATCTTATTTAGTGTTTTTTTTTTTTATGAAAACTGAAAATAAGAGCTCTTATATTCCTTCGTATCCAAGTATCTTATTTAGTGATTTTTTATGAAATCTGAAAATAGGAGCTCTAATATGCCTTCGTATCCAAGTCTCTGTTTTCATACAGGAAGGAGCAATTTGGGGGACATACGGACAAACAAAGTCTAATAGAAGTCCGGTTCCTCTCCATTAAGCGTCGCATATTGCGTGAATTGGTAGTTGGCTTTAGATATAAAAGAAAAAATTAAATAGGTAGCGGGCAAGTGGATGAACATTCACATTTATGTTAGTAACCAACTCTCGCAAGTGATCGTGGAAGCCTATTAAAGCTTTGAAAGCAACATGCTATGGCTTCATTCGCTCTCTTCTCACAAGAAGACTCCTTAATGTCTCAGCTGAGATCAAGAACCAATAAAGTAAACTGCCACAATTTCAACCTTTGTCATAGTGTTGAACTTACCACGCAGGCAGCTGAAACCACTCAACCAAACTTCATCAATCAATATAGAAAACAAACCAATGACACAGCCAACAAACCCAAAAAAGAAGTTGCAAGAAAGCAGGAACGAAATGAGAACGCGGTCTAGCAGCGATTGTAGCTCAGAATTCGGCGTCCCAAGTTCACTGACTATAAAAGCCACAAGTTCAATGTCCGGCCATCTACTTGTACATGAAACAGGAAAACGAAAACCAAAGAAGCGTCGATCCAGTACTAGGAGCTCGGGCTGGTTCATTCTTTTACTGTAATGTTGCCTCATATCATATACCCCAAACACTAAACACAAATACTAGCGAAAATAACATCGTTTTCGCCCCGTATAACCACAATGGATCGAGGAACAAAAAGCAAATGCATAAGGCAATTCACCACCGCCATGTCTTCTTCCCTTTGTCGAGCGCCAGGAGGGAAAACTGAGCTCCCATCCACCCACTTCCTGGAATTGTCACAATGAGGTGCAATTTTGCTTTTAGCATTCCCCTGAGCTGAAGAAGAACATCACTCACTGTCCCATTACCAAAAACACACACGCCATCATCAACTGTTTGCTCAACCTACCTGCCGACTCATTACTCACAACGATTGTCTTTAGTGTACTAAAGATTTGACTTCTTTGGATTTGTGTATCCAAGCAAGGGCCTACTCAATCAGAGTCGGTCATTCCACGCATCACTACCAAAGTATCTATTCTGACTTATATTTTCCTCAGTTGGGTCCCCAAGCATTTCCTTCCTTGGATGATTAGGGGGAAAAAAGGAAAAAGAAAAAGAGAAGAGCAAGTTACCAAATCTACCCACCGTACCTTAAGCAGTCATCATACAGTAAGTAAACATGAAGCCATCCAAACTTCTTCACTTGTACGGAGCAAAAATGATTGACGAGTTGTGACCACCAAACCCGAACGAATTCGATAGCGCAGCTTTCACATCCAGTCTTTCTTTCTTCGGCCCGACCAGCACGCTCGTATTCTGCATCGTTCCAACAAAACAGTATAAACGCATTGAGTAAATGGAACAGTAGGGTATGAAGATGACAAAACTGCATGATGGAAATGGAGCACATACCACCCCCTCATCAGGAGTTTCCAGATTGATATTTGGATGAACCCATCCTGTTCGTATTGCCTAAGACACCATTGATTAGATCCAGCATCAGAAAGTTGATACAGAAAGCTCAAGATAAAGGGACTTTACAGTAATTTCTCACTAACAAAATGGTTTCCACACAGTTTAAAACTGCTTACCTGTACTGCAGCAATAGCTTCCACAGCTCCAGCTGCTCCAAGTAAGTGACCAATCATAGACTTCGTAGAGTTCACCTTCAACTGCAAGTGCAAAGAAACCGATAAGATTCAGCGACCACCATATACTTGTAGTTTCCAAATAGGAATAACTAGGTGAACGTGCATTTCATATACGCACATCAGGATTTTTGCCAAAGCAATGCATCAGAGCCTGATACTCTTTAAGGTCTCCAGCAGGAGTTGATGTAGCATGTGCATTTATGTAGTTGACTTCTTCCTTGGATACTCCAGACTGTGCTAAAGCCTTCTCTATGCAAAGAATGACTCCCGAGCCTAGGATTACAAAGTTGAAAGGAATGTTAGTTGGCTCACACATGGTAGTTCAACATATGATATTAAGATTAGTGCAGAGAGGCACAACTTAGAGAATGAACAAGGTGGTAGAACAATTAGTGCACAACCCCATTACCATCAGGGCGTGGCTCAGTCATATGATAGGCATCACAAGTGAAGCTTCCCCCGAGAAACTCAGCGTATATGGTGGCACCTCTCCTCTGGAAACGAAAACTAAACTTACATCAGTCTCTGGAAAATGAAAGAACGACAGCTACATTAGTTTTTGGAAGGCATAGCATGAACACCAAGTTTATGCATTTCAAAGGAACTACGGATTTTAAGAAGCTGTTCGGAGTATGATGTGCAAGTGAAGGCGAATCAAAACAAGCATGCAGTTATATGATTAAGGATTCGGCTCCATAGACCCTTTTAGTTTTAGGGACAACCCAAATACTGGAACAAACAACTAGGACCTGATCTCCACCTGCAGTGATTTCAAGAAGTGCATACCTTGGCATGTTCTAGCTCTTCAAGAAGCAGAACACCAGCTCCTTCACCCATAACAAATCCATCCCGATTCTGCTCATTTTATGAAACAATGAAAACGATAAGGTAGGAAACACAAGGAATGTAAGACGAACAAGAAAAATATACTAAATCAGGACACTATCACGAACAGACATACAAGCAATGTTAAAATAATACTTAATCAAACAATGCTATAAACTCTAGAATCACAGCCATTCAGGTCAATGACTATGACAGTGGTTTTGAAGTTGATGACATTCGACAAACATGGAGCATTCAATTTATTGATTCCGGTTGAGCTAAACTATTAGCTAGAATTATTAAATATTTGGTCTCTTGTTTTCAAGCTATATCATATAGTTGAAGGACTGAGTTCCATTTATAATATACGTGCTTTAACTGATCTCAGCAACAACAGATGGCACCCTAAAAGTTGACAAAAAACACTCTGCAAGATCACAGCTCCCAGCCCAGAATTAGGCTGCTATTAGTGTATGGACGATACTATGGCAATTGACTAGAACTCATCTTGTTCATTGATAAGAAGTTAGTTTACAGAATTTATCAGTTGGAAATTTTTATTATAGATCTCGTTAATCAATAGAGCTCAGCCTATGTAGCTCCCCTGATCTAGCAATTAAGGAAGCAATGTAAAGACCGGGAGGATTATCTCGTCCAACAAGCCCTTGTAGCAGACCTAGGAGGAGCGACAAGCAGAGTTTGCAGTCAAGTGTCTGTGACCATTATCCAAAACTAGTAAGTTTTCACCATAGCCAACGATATGGGGAAAGACTAAAGGCTTATCCAGAAGTATGAACAAGGCAGATTTTTCCGAGCAGCCCAGCAGGGAGCCATCAAAATATTTCAAAAGTATCAAAACACTACCTTATCCCAAGGCCGTGAAGCTCTGGTAGGCTCATCGTTCCTCTGAGAGAGCGCTCTGCAAGCCACAAAGCCTCCCAAACCTGTAACAAGAGAAACAAGATCAGTCACTTTAACAGACAGTGGAAGGTCCATATCCTAGGGAAAGAGGAAATAATTACCAATTGGAATAATAGCTGCATCTGAGCCACCACAAAGCATAACATCCTGAAAATTGACAGCAAACACAACTATGTTATCAGCAGAACCTTCAGTTCATAATTCATATTTTCCACAACTCACAGTTGACTGCTCAGCATAAATATAAAGGACGTACAGCTTCGCCTCTAATAATATGGTTGGCTGCATTTAGTATACAGAAGTTACTTGTAGCACAAGCTGTCGAAATAGAATAGTTTGGCCCCATCCAACCCTGAAACTCAATAATTAGGTTATCAGAACCCAGATTAAACATTTTATGATCTCCATTTCCTTAAACAAAAACTTACAATATCCATTGCAAGCATAGCAGAACCCATATTTGTAGTCGCAAATGGTACACAGAACGGGTTCATCTTTCGGTAAGAGACCCTTAGAGCTTCAATGGCATCATTGAAAACCTGTGCATAAATTATACACAGAAGATTATCACGGAATCTTGAATTACAAATGATGATGACTCTTCTGAGGCAGGGAATAGCCAGGAATTGCATTTAGCAGACAATAATTACTCCAACATGGCATAAAAATGAAAACCTTGAAGTTACCGAATGGAAGAGTAAACATGAGCAGCAAAGAAACTATAAGTTCTCATTTTACTGAGGTGAGAAAGCAAAAGTGACGTTGGTACCAACGATATCACAATATGGCTGCTCTAGCTCCCCTCACCCTGATGCAATATTATTTTGGCAAGACCAGCAAAGAAAGCAACAAAGTGGCACTCTATGTCCTATGAGATGGGACAGTTGAGTGGCCATCATAGAATATCACCTCATCTTAGCACTCTGCCTAAAAAGAATAAAAACTCTACAGCTGAAGCATTACCTTCATGCCACCCATTCCTGAGCCAATTAGAACACCACATTTAGCTTTATCCAACTCATTCATTACATCCTCAGTAATACCACCATCTGCCAAAGCCTTTTTCCCCGCAATGAGCATGTAAAGCATGAATTTATCCATTCGCTTAGAAAATTTGGGTGAAACCCATCCATCAGTTGAAAAAGACTTGATCTCCCCAGCAATTCTCTGATCAGTTGAAGAGAAAGAAATTAAAGAACATACAAAACGTGAGCCAAGGAAAACATGGTCAGTTACACATTGCTAGTTATCCAATGAAATTTTGACATCTTACTGTTGGGAATTTAGCACAATCAAATGTCTCTATCTCGCTTACGCCACTGCAACCTTCCAGCAGATTATTGTAGAAGACATCTGGATCATGACCAAGTGGAGACACAAGACCCATCCCAGTCACAACCACTCGCCTTTGCTTAGTAACAGGTTTCTTTTTGGTTGCAACCTCCTTTGCAGGTTGCACCGCAACGGCCATTGCTTCTCCTGAAAATGTTTGAATAGATTTACAGCCACAGGTACATGCAACTAAACAGAACAATCTGTGCATTTACGACAACCAGTATGATTAAGTTGATTGCACTGGATGATAAAGGCAGCATTGATCAACGAGACACAAGATGCATAATCTTTTCTATTGGAGATGTCCAAATTAACTACTATTTTTACTGGGGAGATGCCATGGTTCCTTGATCTTTTTATTCACCCCCACCCTCCTCTTCTCCCTTCTTTTACAGAACAGATAGGCTGGACAACAACCAAAACCGGGCAACCAAGATCAGAGAAATGTAAAAGCATTTGCGCACTTATTATCCCCCCCCCCCCCCCCCCCCCCCCCCAAAAAAGGCATTTGGAGGCTTCAAGGCTTAAGATCGGTTTGATAAAAACAATGAGTTATATGAGCTGGTATACCAACCCAATTGGTACGAAAGCAAGTGGGATATACACGACCCTTACCACAGTATTAGTTTCTAAACTCCATTAGCGCCAAGAAACATATGCATCCAAGAGATTGTAGTTGCGCCATAACTGGTTTTCACTTTCGAGAAACTTAAAGGCCAAGCGACGATAATAACGAGGAAAACTGGATATCTAACGCATAAACCAAGCATCATAGTAAGAGAAACGTTCACAGCAAATCTTGCCCCAAACGCACCACGTAGATACAACCGAGGGAACCATCCAGGTCCCAATTCACGCAAAATGAATGAGCAGAGAACCAAAAAAAAGAATGGGGGAAAAAAAGCGAGCAGAATTGACAAGCAAAATGGAGGCAAAGAAGTGGAAATCGTATTGAAATCGAACAACGAAAAATGAATTAAGGTAGCATGAGATGGAACATTTACCAGAATAAGAAGGGCGACCGAGTCGCCTCTGCCTCCGGTTGAGATTTGTGGATCGGAAGGCGCCATTGGAGGTGTAGTACTGGCTACAAGGCTCGAAGGCCAAGCAAGAGTTCATCAAATCTTGAAAGCTGGATCCACAGAGAGAAGAGACGAAGCGACTGGAGAGCGAGTGGGAAGTAGCAGCGACGGCGGATGTGGCGGCGGCGTTACATTTGGATAGAAGCAGCTTCCGCCTGCGGCTGGTGGTGAGTTTGGAGCTTGAGGAGGAGGAACGGAACGCGTGTGCACTGGTCCGGTGGTCCTGGTCGCACGTGACGGACATGCACGCCGCCACCAGCCACGTGCACAACGGAGACGAGAACGATGTCGACCCCGCCATTATCTTCCTCTCTGAATTTTTCTTTCTTCTTCTCCCTTTCTTGTTCTTTTCTCTATGTACCTCTCTTCCTTTAACCACCTCTCGTTCTCTGCTTCTTCACAGAGTTAAAGAAATCCCCAAAAATCAAGAAAATTGATTCCTTACCGAAAGCTGAGAAAGGAACCAATCAGTCCAAGAGAGAGAGAGAGAGAGAGATTCAGGCCACACACTAGTACAGCCAGTCAGTAAGCCAACCAGCCCGGTCAAATTCGAGGCCGCGGCGGCGTTGGGGATTGACGGCGGAGGAGTTAAGAGGAACGCATTCGATCTCTGTATCGCGGCGGTGGTTTCTGTCGACGTTTACGAGGAGGAAGACGGAGGGGAATTTGGTGTTTAGGGTGTGGGGGCAATCTGAGAGACGAAGAGCTCAGAGCAACAGTGTTGCCAAGTACGCTCCGTCTTCTCTCTCTGAATCGGGGGAGAGACTGAAATAGCGAGCAGGGGGGGCAAATGCTATAAAATATAATAGAATATATAATAAAGGTTGGGAAATAAGAGTTAAAAACTGCAGGGAATGGGAAACTAAAATGTGGAAGAGATCTGTGACCAGAAATATTTGTTTATTTTGATAATCTTCCTATTGTTATTTATCTTCTGATATTTTCGTACTTAGTTTCCCTTTAAACAATCGCAATAATAATTAAATTTGTATAAATGTATTTTTCTCTGCAGACAAATGAAATTAATGTTTATCACCACCAAATGGAGAAGTGCTTCCTGCCCGCACTGTGACAGGCGGTGTTTGCTGTAGGTAGAAATAACTATTATCCGAATAATAACAGGCAATTAGCGAAATACAGCATCTCGTAGTCGGAGGTGCCTAATAAAGTAAACCAGGCCCAACTGTCCTTTTTTGGGCATTGGTCCCGGATCTTCACGCAGGGAAGGCCCATTTAAGCCCGTTTACTTTTGGGTCAAGTTCATTCGTCCCTTCTCCTTTTGGGGATGTTTTAGGCCTACTCTCTATACATTTAAGGCTTGTTTGCTTTATGGATTGGCCAATACTATGGTGCCGCTGTAAAAAGTGCGGCACCGATGACGCGGCTTTTCATTGGTCCATGTGGAACTGATGGGGCATTGGTTCTGTTTAATTAAACCCAATCAAACTCATGTGACCCGTAAGAAATGGCCCAAACGGTCTGGTCCAAAGTAACAACGAAGGATTCTCCGCTTTATTTTCATTTTTCTGTTTAATTAATTAAATTAAAAATCATATAATTGCTTTTTTCGGAAAAATCATAAGAATTAAACAGGGTCGACACCAAACAAACCAGAAGCATAATTCATCGATCTACCTCGTCGGCGGCCTCTACATCCCGGCAATTTGTCTGTCGTCGACCCCATCTCTCCGGTGTACCTATCGATTGAAAGTTGAAACCCCTCACTCCCTCCTACATTGATTCTGTATGACAGAGGCAAAGGAATCCCTCGTGTTCCTCGGCTTCTGTTTCCATGTTATTGCAACGCCCTCAAAGTACCAGACTAACGCAAGTCAAAGAAGAAGCGAATCGCCTCCTATGCGCTCCCGCCTCGCTTTGCACTGTCCTTGTTGAATTCTCAAAACCAAGTTCTACGAGGCGTTGAGCTAATTTCTCCACCAATGAAAAGGCTTCCATGTAATTTCTATTATGTATATTTGAGGAGGTAGGAGAATCATGCTGATTGTTTCAGTTCCATTTTAGTAGGGCCGTAGGGGAATCGATGCTTTGTCCCTGTTCCGTTGTTGTTCTCCCCTTTCCGCTTTACATTGAAGTTGAAATTGCTAGGAGGCTGCTCCTCGCAATGAATTGAATTTGAAATACATGAAAAGCTTATTACCAATTCTCTTACACTCCAGCACAACTACACTTATATCTGAAAACACCATACCCCTAGCAGATTTGATATGAAGATCCCCACTCCCTTTCTCTTCTTTGTTTTACACCAGTGATGTATCATCTCCATTCTTCCTATTGTAATCACTAATTCCTACCTCCTTGGGATTGGTTTATTAAAAAAAGAGCATGTCCATCACATACTTGTGCTTGCCTTCACCGAGAGGGGCTTCATTCACCAGAAGCAGGCGCGATGAGGCTTATCGTTCATTGTTCAAGTCCTCCTTCAGTGATAAATCACAATCAGAATTGGTGTCCCTTCCTTACGGCGAGCACACTAATTAAATGCTCTTGTGGAACAATAACGATACTTTAGTTGTCATGTCAATTAGGCTTAATTGCTAATAGGATTTTCTCTCAATTTCGTGCAGGTTTGTGATGTGCAACAAGTCTATAGAGAGAGAGAGAGAGAGAGAGAGAGAGAGAGAGAGAGAGCACAGGGTCTTTGCTACAAGGGGCTGAAGCACACCTGGTTGGTGAGGTTGATTACAATTTTCTTGGTCCGATTAGTGCGATGGGATGGTTTTGCCTTGCTGTTCTTGTGCACCTAGAAGCTTCCCATGAAGTTTAATGGGGCTGTAACACTTTTGTTCTCTTTTTTATGGATGATGGTTGTATTATAATGAAGGGAGACAAACTGCAAGCTTGATATTGTTGTCAATGGTATAGAGTAAACGGAAAGGAAAGCAACATATCAGCAGGATTGTTTTTTGACTTCTTCTATCTCCTAGTTTCAGCCTTATTGTCTTCCTAATACCTTTTCATTTTGTTGCTGCTGGTATAACACTGTTTTCTTCCTAGCAACTCATCATTCCCCTGTATAAAAGAGACAGTACATCTACACTAAAGCAACCGTAGAAGCCTAAAATTAGGATGACAAAACTCTACCCTCCATCTCTTGATCATTGTCAAATGTTTTATTCTTTGCCCCCATCTCCCAATCCCATTGCAATAGCAGCAAGAGTATCATGTTAATCTTTTAGCCTTCTTGGAAGCTCTACGAACCTGCAGCTGCTAATGTAGTAGTCCATTGTACTAGGTCCATGGTCTCAGGCTGAGAACATTGATCTGCAAATATCCTGAAACATTTAAACTTTTCGACTAAAGCTCTCACAACCTCTACCTTGATGCCTTAAACCGCAACTCATACCTTGTGCTCCGAATTATAGCATCCACCCCGTGGATGGTAGTGCAGCAATAGCCATTCGTGGTCGATGTGCAGAAGAAAGACGGGTGCGACACCCGGAAAATGCTTGTCGGTAAGGTCGAACCCGACACTGCCATTTGATGTCACTTCATCAAACACTTTGTTCTTATTCAATTGTTCTCCAAGGCTGCTCAAAATACAAACGAATCGAATTACTTTGAACCCTCTGAATTCGTTGGGGAAACTTTCTATGCACTTCTAAGGAGCTTCATATTCTATTTCGATGATTCCAACATAGAGGGGCAGAGTGAGGGGGAGTGTGCTTCTCTATTATTATGGATTGTGATCGTCTGGTAAAGTGGCGGTTCCGCGGGGACAGAAGGTCAGTAGGTCGAAGATTTGTTCGTTTTTTGTTTCAAAGAATAAACAGTAGGAGGAGGAAGATGGTGAAGGGGATGACTGGAGGCATAGGGTAGAGACTTGAGACGAGATCAATTACAGTGAAGTTTACTGAAATTGATGTTGACGGTCCGCCGGAGAAGGAGAGCGAGGAAGACGACGAAGTGATTCTGTTGTAGGTTTCCATTCCCTCGTAACAAAAAATGAATTTACAATTAGCCTGTTCCGTGTGTGGGTATGTTGGTTTGGGTAGGTCTGATTGTCAACAGTATCTGGTTCGGATTATATAAAATCTGCCACATAATAATCCACATGGACCAATGAAAAGCTGCGTTACCGGTGCCGCCCTTTTTATAACGGCACCATAGTATTGGCCTTGGATTTGGTGAAAGAGTTTCATCTTTTCATGGGTCTTGCTTTCTAGATAGTTGTAGTTCTTTTTGTAGGCATGAAGTAAATTTTCTATTGACTTGGATGACGTGAACACTAGTCTAGGATGTTTTAGTTTTGTGATTGTGAACCCTATGTTGTGATTGGCATGAATGTTTATTTATCAGGATTATTGAATGTCATTGATCAATTCCCTCAATATTGGGGCCAATTGACCCAGGTGAGAGAAAAACTCCTAAGGGTAATTTTGGGCATTATTCAATCATCGTAAGGGGGCCATGAACGAAAGTGATTGATATCTTTATGCTATTCCTGATCATCACACGAGGGAGTGGATTTGGTTGCGCTAATTGCCTAATTCTATAGCTTGGTATGCCTCTCTAGTTAGAGCAATTAGGCGGGTTAGGACAATTCAAATATGAACTCCTTGCTAGCTTTGATCTCCTAACGGCATATACTAGATGTGAATCACACTACAGTATCACGTCATTGACTCAACATGGGACTAGGGGGATAATGATTCGAGTGAAGCTTTCTCCATTGAATTGAACATTGTTTTACTTGCTTGCATGTTTGTTGGTTCATTAGCTTAAAACAAAGTTCTACCGCTAGATAATTTGTAGTTTGCCGCAACAAGGATACATAGACCCCCCCCCCCCCCCCGGGTTTGATAATTTGAAAAATACTTGCTCTATACTACCCAGGTTGAAGATTACACTTGGCCTTCGATTGCAAGTGTAGTTAGAACCGAGTCAGATCTCTTTGATCACCAAGGCAACATCTTTCGAATCAATGGTCAACGATGTGAACCATACTCCCACCCTACAACCACTCACTTTTGTGGAAGACATTTCTCTTACTGACGACGTTTAGAAGAAATAGCTATGCCTAGCTCAAAGGCGTAAAAGAAGGAGTACTCTTGGGAGGCAACCTAAGGATTTCTTTGCACTTTTCTTGTTTTTAGTAAGTTAATTCAATTCACAAGTTTATTTTCTTCATTAAAAGTAAATTAAATATATATTTTCTGTGTTTCATGCCAATTCCTGCACAATTCAAGCGAAGAAAAATAGAATCTTTCGTATAAATTTTATTATATTTATTAGTTTCGGTTTTCGTACGTTCTTTTTGTTTGGTTCCAAGCTCAACCCAGGACTCCATATCAAAGACAAAAATGGAGGATTGTCCAATCAAAAATTTTCGATTTGGTCAAGCAGTTTCAAGGAGGCAGGACGAAAGGAGGGTCAGTGGCGGTCGGCGTCGCCATCCCTTTTGATGGCCTACACAACTCCTCTTTCCTTCTGCAACATATACACAAAGAGAAGGGACCGACGGTCCTACCCGTCATCGACCTGCCATCACCCATAAAAAGAGGACAAACCTACGCTTTGATTCCTCACACCTGACAAAGACTCTCACAGTGATTCTGAAGTCCAGAAGTAAGAAGACCCATGCATAGATGATGGTGGCGGCCAAAGAAAGAGTTGTCAATCAAGGAATTAAGAAAACATCATTGGAGAATGATGGGGATAGGAGCAAGAGAGCTACGATGTTGGTGTCATGCCAACCCAAAGTAGCACCGATGTTTTGCAAGAAGGATAACATAGATGACATTCCCCTAGCATCAAGGATGGAAAGCATGAAATGATACCAACACGGAATTAGTACTCGTAGTAATCAAAGTCGCACTGCCAAGAAAATGGATTAGGGGTTAAGGATAAAATGAAATTAAAGTGCAATCTCACACTTAGGAGAAGGCTCTATCAATATAGGGTAGAAGCTTGACCACAATCAAGGTGTGTACTCAATTTATGCAAAGCACAAATTCAAAAGCCGAAGCTCAATGAACAAGAATAAAATTAGTAATCTTCAAACTATGCTCTAAAACTCTATTTTAATCCTTTAAATAGGCAAAAGAAACAAAAATTAATCAAAAACCCTAAATGGAAAAGGATCCTAAACACAAAAGGTAATTTGAAACCCGAAAAAACTAATCAATCTCCTGTCGTGCACCTTCAGATCCTAGACAGGGGATTAATAGCCACCTGACCGGGGGTTCTTTTGTTCCTATTCCCCAGTCTCTCCCTACTCATCCTCGGTCGGGGATTTGGGTCCCTTTTGGTAGAGGGAATCACATCAGGCCCTCCCCTTTGAAGAAGATTTGTCCTCAAAGATTGTGTGTTCCTGTAAGAGAGATCATCACTAGAATTTCCCAACTGAATTCTTCTAAGAGTAGTCAACATGTGCCTTCGAGCCATAAGATGGGTTCCACTTTTGTCCTCTGACTTCGAATCACTTGCATTCCCTTTCTCCCTTGCCCAATTCAGCTCCTCTATTGTTGATCTTTTCGGACTTCAACTGGCAACAATGGTTTGAGAAGAATCTTCCGACCTTCATGTTTGATCTTGTAGCAATTGATCCTCCCCTCATGAACTACACATCGATCGAACTGCCATGGATGACCCAACAGGAGGTGAGTTGCATGCATTGGTGCAACATCGCAAAGAATCTTGTCTTTGTACTCTCCCATTTCGAATTTAACCAAAGCTTGCTTGGTGACCTTAATCGCGCCATACTCATTCAACCAATGCAGTGAGTAAGGTTCCAGGTGCTTCGTTGTACTCAAATTGGCCTTCATTTATGCTTCTAAGTTGATAACATTTATGCAACTACCACAATCAACAACCATTATCAAAACTTTACCGTTGACCAAGCAATGAGAGTGGAAAATATTCTCCCTCTGGTCCATCTCTACAGGGGTTGCACTAGTTAAGGCTATGATCGTCTCTTCTACCTCCGAGTCAGATGAATTAGCAGTCATATTCCCTTAATCTTCACCTTCAAAGACATATGCACCATCATCTCGAAGAACCATGGCACGTTTGTTTGGACATTGATTGGCTTTATGACCTTGCCCCAAACAAACTTCGGATGCTTTCGGTCAATTCTTCGGATATGGCTTGAATGACAAGACCATTGTGTTCTATATGTTCGCTTGACTCCTTATGGCCTAAAATGATTCGTAGTGGTTTTGTCCATGTTCTCTGCAAACGGTTTAGTTGAAAGTGGATACCTTCTTCCGGAACTGACCTTTAGCTGTTTGTCCACCTTAATGGCTAGGTGAATCACTTCCTCTAACTCCACAAACTTACAAAGCTTAACTTTGTATCTAGTTTCCCAATTGAGGTCATGTAGAAATTGAGAAATTGTAGCTTCCTTCTCTTCTCTCATGTCTGCCCTCATCAAGAGCAGTTCAAGCTCCCTGAAATACTCCTCAACTGATCATGCTCCTAGTAGAATCCCTTGCAATGAATCAAATAGTTCTCTTTGAAAGTAACATGGCACGAATCTCTCTCCCATGAACCCTCTTAATTCAGCCCAGGTTGTCACATTCGGGTACAAGTTCCTTCTTCTTCTTCTGAGTTGTACCTGCTCCCACAATATAGTTGTATAATCAGTGAATTCTTTGGCTAGTGATACCTTTTAATGCTCGCTATAATTGTCACACTAGAATAACAAGATGATCTTCCTCTCCCAATCCAAGTATGTAGAAGAATTGATAGACCCTTGAAATGAAAGAATTGAAAGCTTGATCCCTCGTAAGTCAACAAAAATACCTTATTGTCCTGCTTCTGGTGGTCTTCCACCGTATTCAGTATTCACGAAATTCGTGTTCTTGATGCACTTGATTGGGCTCTGTCGTGAACAACCTCCGCTCCAGGTTGCGAAGTCTTTCATCTATATACGGAGTTCCATAACATATATATGTGGAACCTTGACCACAACATATATATGTGGAGTTCCAACCCAGTCAACAGGTAATTCTGTAATTCTCTCTTTACCAACTTCTCCTTGTGATCAACAGGAGAACTGCACAAGTATCAGAAAATTAGCGCATAACATATAGAAACTCTTAACTCTATTTTCCTAATAACAAAGCCTAAAATCTTCCATATTCCAATTATGAAAGAAATCGAAAACAACTTGGCTAGCTGTCTAGAAATCAATTGGGGAAAGGTTTTGAGAACCTATTGGAAAATAACGTCATCGCGGCCTGTTATCTATGTCTATTTAACAATCAACATGAATCACGAATCTGAATGATACAACAAGTAATAGTCTAATGGGGACGAACCAAAGAGGGGATTAGTTTCATGGTTAAACATCGGGGACATAGATTGAACACGAACTAGGACAACGCTAGCAAAACTTCACGATGCCGCATGAAGGTGGATATCAGTAACTATCTACTAGCTATGCAGCAAACAATGAGAAAGGAATGAGAGACGCAGATGCTGAGATGCAACGAGGCAGGGCTTGACGACGGACGGGAGATTGAAACGACGAATCAAAATAAATTTCTTGAAGTCTGGGCGAGTGGGCGGCTTTGGGTTGGTTTATGGTCAATCGGTTTGAGCTGCACATTATTAAACCACCGTAATGCCATATCACCAATCACTATCTACGTGGACCAATAAAAAAACAGCGACATCGGTATCACACTTTTAAAGCGGCACCATAATATTGGCCCATTAGACCTAGTCATGACTGGGGGGAAATTAGATCTTTTTAATTGAGCCCAACCCGATTGATTGTAGTATAAGCCCATAGTCAAATTGATTTGTCCAAATTACTTTTCTTATCAGAAAAGAAAAAAGAATTAATGATTCAACGAAGAAAAAAAAAAGCAAGAAAGGAAGAAAGGATTAAATTCCTCTTTCGAAGACCCTGGCTTGGCACCATAGGACCCAGCAACTCACCGATCCGGCGCCGATGAGGAGAATGTTGATCGTGGCCGGTTGGCTCGGCTTGGCAATTGCGACGGTGGCTGGAATGTCATCGGCGGAGCCGGAGCTTGGCTCAGCTCGTGTCGTTTTCCAGGTTCTCTCTGTCACTCACTTATCACCAGCAGAGTCGTCCATGATCGCACCTCTTAGTTATGACTTGACGAAAACAACTGCGAGCTGAGAGAATTTGGGATGTTGCTTGGCGCATTTTCAATTGAGATACTTGTTGTGGTGAATTGCAGACGGATTATGGAGATATTGAGTTTGGATTCTATCCATCTGTGGCGCCACGAACCGTTGACCACATTTTCAAGCTTGTTCGGCTTGGAGGCTATAACACTAATCACTTCTTCAGGGTATGTTATTGCTTTTGTTTCATGATCAGTTGGTGATTGAATTTGAATAGAAGTTTGATGTGGGTGGTTGATTCAGTGAGGGGAAATGTGGAGTTGATGTCAGGTGGACAAGGGTTTTGTGGCCCAAGTGGCGGATGTGGCTGGTGGACGATCGGCTCCGATGAATGAAGAGCAAAGAGCGGAAGCGGAGAAGACTGTAATTGGGGAATTTAGTAATGTGAAACATGTGAGGGGTATTCTGTCCATGGGCAGGTAAATGTGTGCTTCCTCACGAACTTCGTCTTTAATAATGTAATTATGCTTTCAGAACCTTCACTCTCGTCATCTCAAGGTTCTGCCTGGTACTTAGCTTTCAAATGCTTAATTTTGAATGCACTTCTTCGCATCGGAGCTGGTAGTGTCACAGCTGATTATGTAGTTTGATTATGGTTGTCACTGCTCCCAAACATCATTGCTGTTTAGAAGCTTGGCTTAAGAGCTAGTAATCCGTGACTGCATTCAGTTGAAATTTATAAAATTGTGGGCTAATGACAGAGTAATCACACCATATTTCTAATCTGTTTATAGTGTTAACTTAAGTTTGAAGCTGCTAATGCATTGTACTTTATTGTTGAAGGTATTCTGATCCAAACAGCGCATCTTCCTCGTTTTCAATCCTTCTTGGAGATGCGCCACATCTTGATGGCCAAGTATAGCACTTTTAGTTTGTTAAATGTTCTTCAGTTTATAAACTATAGGAATGATGTGAGGTTAGTGACTCATAATTCTTTTCAGTATGCAGTATTTGGTAAAGTTACCAAAGGAGATGACACATTGAAGAAGTTGGAGCAAGTTCCTACAAGGACCGAGGGAATCTTTGTCATGGTATGTGTATACTTGGCTGGAGGCTGTGCCTTGACATGCAAACTAATGAAAATGAATGATTTCCATGCTTGTATTCCTGGATCTCTCTATTGGACACAGTGCACCCATACTACCAATTGGTTCATCATTGTATGGGATCTGAACTTTTTTTAAAAAGGGTGACATAGGTTCATTTTTATTGTTAGGTGCTACTTAAGGGATTCGAACCTGGTTTAAGACTAGTGTTATAATCACTAGACCAAGCCCTTTTTCGGTATTCTTACAGAAGCACTTTATATCTGAGTTCCTGAACATGTTTCCTGGCATGGCTCTCAGGACTTTTTTCTTTCACATATGTTCATCAACTGCTGTTGAGTAGGAATAATGATGCCCTTCAAGCTTCTGCTGTCATGTGGTTTTGTATCCATTTTTGGAAATTAAAATAGATTTGAATTTTAAAGAAAGCAAATAGTGTGTCTGTTTCCTGCTTTCCAATTTTATGGATGTTACCTAGTTTCTTGAACTCCATGGAGCTTCTGCTTTCTCAGCTCTGATATAGCTTTTTTTTTCTCCCTCCAGCCAACAGAGCGGATCACTATTCTGTCATCGTACTACTATGGTAAGTACCAATCATCTGTTGTGTTCTTCTCCTTGCTCCTTCCATCAATCAGGTGTGTTATTATGGGAATCCTCCCAGCACTGAAGCCGCGAGGATGAATGCTTTTCTGTCTAGATAAGGCTAGGAGGCTACAAAGATACTGAACAGCTAAACTCAAAGTTATCATTCTTTTATTTTAGGAAATAATCTAGTTGGAGAATCCCATGGGAATTCCTTACTCCAGTTATCTTACTAGCATACTGCATACTATCCTCATGCGATGTTTGAGACGATTTCGTATTGTTGTGATGTACCGTACGTTCCTAGTTTCTGTTTGAAAATTCAGAAGTTCGAAACTCACTGTTAGGGGAACGCATATTTTATTACTGTTACTGTACTATATTTCATCTTTGGGGAAGAGTCTGCTCGCTCGTGGGAAAGACTTATGAAGTTGTCTTTGTTTCTTGATGGATATTTATTTGATATTACTATATCTTGGTGAAATTGATGTGCTAAACATTTCCGCCTAGACTTTTACTCTTCTTTTCCATTTGGCATTGATTGGAAATAAGCACGCACCCTTTGGGTATTTTTCCTGAAGAACTGATGCGAGCTATGACTATAGGATTTCAGGTGTTTGGGAAGAAGAAATTTAGGTTAATTGCATTAAGAGCAGGAGAGAATGCATTTGTGCAAAATGTAGGAGTATAATTGAGATCTTACTGGGAAATGAGAAATGTTGACATACTTCTCAGTTCTTATCAAATAGATGTTTTGGTATGGCAAGGCAAGGCAAGGCACTGGACATGCATAAGAACAATTTGATTTACAAAACAATTTCAGGAGAATGCTATAAGAAACACTTTTCTTCGTTTTGGTCTCTTATGCTTAACTTCATACTTTATGCTCCAATGTATTGAGGGGAAGTGCCTGTCCTGTCAAGAACTGTTCACTATAATTTAAGTGGCTTTCCCTTGTTACTTATAAATAAATTGACTGATACCTTTGGGAATGAGGCGAAAAACATGGCGGATACCTGAAAAGTGAGACCCTGGTTTCATTAGTTAATAAGAGACTTGCTTATTGCCCACTGTCAATCTGTCATTGTTCTTTGCTCTCACTGTCATTTCTTTCAGATACTACCTTGGAGAAGTGTGACGCGGAGAGGACGATCCTGAAGCGAAGGCTTGCTGCTGCTGCTATTGAAATTGAAAAACAGGTTTTTCCTCATTCCCAACTTCCAGATAGCTCAGTTTCTTGTTATGTGTGTGACTAACTAAGAACAACGCGGGCACCATCGCCATGTGTATTAATTTTTGCAGAGAATGAAATGCTTCGCGTGATTCAGCAAGGTGAACCTGTCTTGACTTGCTGTGATTACTTCGCCAATTTGTAAACTATAGAGCCAAAATGGAGAACAAAGAAAAGAGTACCTCCTCGATGGTGAATTAAAGGCTCGCCGAGAGTATAAACCTTAGACTGGATCTCCCAAATACGAGAAATTAACGCTATTCGCAGGCAACTATATGTCAACATCTGGACTGACTTTGGTGTTTAATGTTCATATCGCTCTGTCTGCTGGCCTAGTTAATGTTCGGCTCCTATGTGTATATTATCCCCTATCTAATGCATCTGTCTAGCTGGGAGTTGCCCATAGCCCCATATGTTGGCTAATAATGTATTCTGACTATGTTGGAGCTTGTCAATTAGAATATGTGGTCCATGGATTGTCAATTATGTTAAACATTTGGGGTAAATTTGTAGCAGTTAAACCCACCAGTCGCATTTGCGAGTATATTGCCCTGATGTTTGCTAAAATTGTTACCAGGAGACAAGAGATTCATAATTTCATATGATAAAACATAAGTAAACGAGCTTATGCTAACAAATGAAGTGCATTGATAAACATGGTTTAAAAGAGACGGCACAAAGCTAGTTCAATTCGATTTGCGAATTAATACGCTAATAACAAATCAAATTTTCATCCTACAACTATATTGATCCATGTAGTCATAATGAATCTGTTAAAGATGTTACTTTTTTTTTTTTGGTAATCAATCTCCTAAAGAGTGATTATTAGGGAAGTTTTTCTTTTTAATTTAGTAGGGAAGATGTTTCTACTCACTACTATAAGTTGGGCCCAGTATCCATACAAGTTTAATAGTGGGACAGAACAGATGGGGCCTCATACAAAATCTGTGGAACCCATCAATTATGAGATAGTAGAGAGAATAATCCAGTGCTGGAGATCTTTTCTCCATAGAATTTGGTGAATAATTAGAGAGTGATTAGACTAATCTAAAAGTGATCACTCACTTTCTCACTAAAGTAGATTATAGAGACTTGCGCTAATTCCAGGGACAAGGGTTGTGGAAGATGCACGATATACTTGGGAGACCTATAAAAATTTGGGCACCAAATCTAGACTTCTAAGGAGAGACAAGTGGTTAGGAGATCTTAGTTATGAGCTTGATGATATCTTCTTCCCGAGGGAAAATGCACAATTGGTTGCTCCACCATATGGCGAGGAGCACCTGATAATGGATACAGTGTAATTTGTTACAATTTTTTGGAGTATGTAACCAAACTGGAATGAACATGTTGGAATTCATTAGATCACTATAAAAAGAAATTTGCCATCGAGCTCGTTCTTTCAACTAGCTTGAAGGAATTTTGTTGTACATGACTAATAAGGTTGGAGACCTAGTAAGATCGAGATATTGACTTTGGATTCATTGGTACACCCAATTTTCACGTCAGGGTAGGGTTAACACAGATGCTCTATCTTCACTCTCCCTTGTTGTTGTCTAAATTTGGAGGTATCACTAGGAGAGAAGCAGGTTTGCTTCACTACAACCTCCACGACCAACTTTAGAGGTCGCACGATCACTAGAACCGAGTTGATGTCATTTTTCAAAGTCTCAACCTTGCTTTGGAGATGGCTCGTCGCTAGTGCTCCATTCGTTTGCTACTACACCCACCACTTCCACCTCATGTTTGCACTTGTAGTAGCCATCGGACAACTTCTTAGCATACATTGTGAGGTACAACTTCTTCGCGTTCACAATTTGTCGTGCCATCAACCATCTTCCTCTTTTCTTAACGCGAGTTCACTTGATTGTCAATCCAGATGCAGTTCCCACGTACTGTTTATCGTGTGACACTGACACCTGATTGGACTCATACCCACATTACATCTTAATCTATTAGGGTGTCATTTTGAACTTTGCTTTATTTTTAGAAAAGAAAAAAACATCCTCAATAATAGTAGTATGGAGGTAAAAGAAAAAAAAAGACATCTTCAGGTACCAAGGACCCTACATGGGTATGGCATTAATTGCCACATGGATGATCAGCTGTGGGATGGAGACAATGACCATATATGACTCCCTCCTCTTTTTCATTAGCCAAGTTAACAAGCTGTCTGCACTGCAATTTGCACCACATAATAATATCCAAACGCAATCTTCAAACAGACATTAAACTTTTGGTTTGCTCGATCTCCATATCCATTTAAAAAAACAAATAAAAGACACTACATGTGCTGCCTGCCTCAGGTGTGTGTGTATAGTAGAGAGTATAGTGTAATAATAACCACTACTACGCTTTCAGTTTGTTATGCAGCATTTGATTTCCTTGTCCCCAGCCCGTCGCTGCTGCAACATGATCAGTCCTTCTCCCTGCAAATTGTCAAATTAATGTATTCAATTGTGTTATACATGTTTTATACGCATTCAGTTTAAGTTTAATATAGTAGGGTATCAAACGAAACAGAAAAACAATGAAATGGTTCGGTAGACGACTAGACGATAATAGCACATAAAAAGAAATTTGAAGCTCGTACATATTATACATTTGTAAATACGGTAAAGGGTGTCAAGAATAGTTTGGTTCCAATAACTCTAATTGTTGGAAAATATTCAATGATTGATCTTATACCATTTACTAAAACGTCAACTCAAACGAAAACCAACTCATTTGAGCTTGAAGTTTGCACAGGTTTGAATACCATGTGCTTAATAAATGAGGGTCGTCGTGATTCGAACACCAGACATCTCAATCATCAAAGGCTCTGATAGACTGGTATGGATAACATAGTTATTGGAAACAATTGGTTCTTGACATGATAGCAGAGCTGATTTGATCTTTAAGTCACATGTTCTAGTCCGCATGAATCCCAATATTAACGGTTGTGTTAAAGCACATAGTGTGATGGACCTATACAAACTTGAAGTCCACGAATTCGAAGAGAAATTACGGAAGTGGTTTTAAGATCCATACATGGACCTCTTCCAACAAATTGAGCTTGCGACCAATTAATTAGTCTATAACGGGATAGTATTATACTCATTTTACTAACAATTCCGGCAACATTTTTTCCCTAGATTTCGTATTTTCTTTTTTTCTGCTCCTCCCAACTTGAGTGTGAATCGAACTGCACATCCTTATCATGGACTGACAAGTTGAGAGCAAGTTAAATCCTATTGGCCTGCAACTGACAACGTACAAGAGCATCTTTGCTTTGCTTACAAGTGCAAGAGAAACCTTGAGAGGAATTCTCTTCTCCTGTTCAAAT